AGACACAGAGGAAGGCAAAGGGAGACCAGAGTGTTTCCCACTTGGCTCATATTTCAGAGCTCTGAAGGATGTTTTTGAGGAAAACTCCTATAAAATGCATCTTTTCACAGACATCGAAAACCATTCTGACTGGGCAGAAGGAAACAGACACTTCACACACACTCAAAACTACTAGCAAGCCTATCTACAACACATATTTAATACTGAATAATCTGTGCCTTAAACTGACCACAGTTGTATTAAAGACTGACACTAACGACTATTTTTCTACTGATTCCAAGCCAGCCAGCATGACCCATAGACTGTATAAAAGAAGGCACGAACACAGCACAACACACACTGGCATGGTCAATCAAGGTAGAAGAAGCCCTGCCAAAACACTTATTCAGCATAAATTCTTAGGTAGCAGGCAGAAAACTTTATGGTTTTAATAAAGAGCTGAGCAGCTAAAAGGACAAAAGAGGTTCATATGCTCCTCCTACTAATGGTAATTTAATAAACATGAACAGACAACACTTAAGGTGGTTTTGTCCTTTCTGCCAGTTCAACATCCAGAATAGCACCTGTTTTCTCAACGATGTAATGCGTTCCCTAGTCCCTTACCCTAACCTTAACCATAAGAGCTAAATGCCTAACACCTAATTTAAATCTAATTCTAACCTGAACCCTAAAACTGAGTCTTAACCCTCAAAAAGGTGTTTCAGAAAGTGAGGACCATCCAAAATGTGCTCACTATGCAGCAGGTACAAGAACACACACATACACACAGGTGATTATTTTCCATTAGGGGGCTCTAGCTACGTCTGTATAGCTGCCACTTCTTCAGTTAGGACTGACAGAGGGTTGGCATCACTCTGACACACACACACACACATGCCTAGCAGCAACACATTCTGTATGTAGTCTGCAGCCCTGTCAAGACTAAAATCTTTTGAATACCAGGTCCACACACAGAGACAGGCAGACCTTCTCAAACGCACGTACACACACAGAGCACAAAGTGTCAGGTGGCTGTGGAAGTGTGGTAATTCGCTCCCTGTGACAGTCAGGAAATAAGGGAGTTGACCAGAGACCTCACTTCCTCTTAGACCTGACTAACCTGACATCTATCACACACTCCCACACAATCTTCTCCTCCATCATTACCTCTCCCTCTCTAAGGGCAGAGACACACCACACCAATGTGAAAGAGCTAGCAGCAACGAAGGCCGACTGTTGTGGCGCTTCACATCAGCTTTGTCTGCACCACTCGGGTTGAAAAAGTAATACTTGAACACACTGCACCGACTACAGCCAACGGTCAACTAGCACGTACGTTCTGTGCCTGTGTGACAGAAATACCTCCCCCTACCAGCAGGTGGCGGTATCTGTATCCACCATTCATTCATTCATTCATTTTCTACCGCTTAGTCCCTGAACGGGGTCGCGGTTTCCACCATTCAGAAAGGGAAAAAAGAAGAGCTAGACTGGGGAAGTATAAGCTATAAACAAAACACCGCTAGCTCCAAACAGCTGCCGTTTATGCGTAGCTGCTTAGAATCGAGAATATGTCTGATAAGAAGGTGCAAATGACACTGCCGCTCTCTGCCCTTGGTCTTTTGGTTGTGGAACAAAAAAGAAGGTTGTGGAGGCGAAAAGCAAGGAGAAACCGCACTAAGCGTGTGAAATCATGGAGACTACAGCGACAGGCTGAAGGGGCTTTCCTGAACCATTCTCTTCTCCTGCACTGATTCACTCAGCTCAACAGAATGGCCTCTCTCGCCAGCAAGGCCCAACAGGCCGACACAAATTCAGCATGTTGAATCAGCCAAAAAGCCGCCAACAGGAACCAACTAGTGCCAATGGTGCGGGACACACTGGGAAGCCAAGCACCAACAGACGCTCACAGACGACCCAACAGTGGCCGATGGCCAACCACTGGCCTGGTGAGTCTCTGCCCTAATATAGATTCACACAACCCATCACACATTTAAGTCTACTAGTGACAAGCAGCCTGCAGTGCAAACTGCTTAACATCTATGTGTGTTCAAACATAAAGCTGCCTGCTTTGGGTTTTGACATAATACTCAGAATCCTCTCCAGTCACCCTATCAGTAACCTCAATTCACTTAGCATGCCCGGTGGTCCAACGAGCAGCTGAGCCAACGATGTGTTGTATCACGACCTAATCACACTGATAGATCCACTAAGTGGGTCAGCAGGGAAACGCAAGTCTGATCTTGGCCTGGTTGAAGAAGACCGCAACGTCTAAATTCATGCTGAGAAACTAAAGTTTAGTAAGAGCCATAAAAAGCATGACCTGCCGTTTGTTTTTTTTTTACACTAGAGATGAGTGCAGTGGTTTAACAGCTACCATCCTCAAGTCACATTTTAATACAATTACCTTGGGCAAGGTTAGCAGTAATGACGACCAGCGGTATTTTTTTCATTATACTTCGGCTACTTATACACCATTATCATTATCCACATTATCAACTGGGACAAAATCATTCTGCACGTATTATAAACCTAATGGTCCATATCGCTGTTATGTGCTCCCCTTTTGACTTCGGGGATTTGCATGTTTTAATGTCTTTCAAAGTATTACACGGTCCTCTGTGGTTTACTTTTAGAAAAATGTTTGTGAAAATCACCACAATCCATGGCCATAGAACTGAAACAAGACTGAACAATTTTCAAGGTTTCATTACTCAACAGTAATGGAGAGGCATTCACACACACACACACACACACATACACACACACACACACACACACACACAGCTACACTATCCACTGAGTTAGGTCTCAGCCTGTTAGCGCTGTAGAATATGATTTACATTTTGAAACACGCTGAATTTGACCCATTCTTAACTTCACTCAGAATATAAAGTCTAGAATGAGGCTCGGTCTGTATCCACGCCGAAAATGTGAATCAGTCAAACAGCTGTGGAGCAGAACCCACTCAGTGACAGGGAGGCAATGGAGGTGCAGGAGCATAAGTTATGAATAAAGAATCGAGGATGGAGGGGTGAACAGATGAGAGGTGGTGGAAGGGGGTAGGAAGAGGAGGGGGAGAGAGAGACAGTAAAATGCTGCTGTCACTTAAACTCTAAAATGAAAGATCAATGAGCTTATTTAAATGTGCTCCCAGAGACGAGTTGGCTCATATAAAGACCTGCATTTATGAGGAGGGGTGTAGGCATTGACTGACTGAGAGAAAAGGGAGAAAGAGTGAAAGAGGGAGAGGGACGGAGTGGGAGGAGGGAGCGAGAGACGCTACAGGCCGGGAGAGATCAGCAGGATCAACCTTGGCTCATGAATTTCATCCTTTTCCTCCTAAAATAAAACGTCCTAATAAATGCTGAGGAAAGAGGGGTCGGAACCTGGAAAATCTACTGCCTTCGATTGGGCACCTGGCACAGCTTATGAAATCAATATCACCACCCCACCCTCCACCGATGCCACAAGCCTCTTCCTGAATCAGTTTTACTAATTTCTAATTCACCCCCCTACTCCCAGCACACATGTATACAAGCACAGCCCCTGCCAGCCATCCTGCAATAGACAATTCACAGCAGGGCAGCCCCCTAGAGCCCAGACAGCTGGAGAGGGTTGGCTTTAAGTCGGGGAGGGGGGGGGCTGTTTAACTAACTTGGGTGCTGGTGCTGAGACCTTGACATTAGAGGGGAGGACGGAAAGAGCTGACTCTGCAGCCACACCATCCCTCCGTCTCACACCTCCTCAACACCTAGAAGGGAGGGAGGATGACAGTGAATGTGACGACTGGGAAAAGGAGGGAGATGAGAGCAACTTTTGACACACACAGCGGCGTTGTCATACCGTCATCATCGATTGAACTGCAGGCACAGCTTTATGAGTGGAAAGCACGGCGCTCCGCATTCCCTTTCAACTCCCCCGCTCCATTTTTTCTTTTCACCCCT